GCTTTGTACAACTCATGAAGAATAAAGCATTCCATTCAGGCATCAAAAGAACACCTTACGAAGCTCTTTTTGGATCTAAAGTAAAAGTTGGTATATCTTTACCTCTCGATGATACTCACAACTTGGAGAGTGAAGAGGATCTAGAAAATGTGTTTAAGTCATCACCAAGTATTCTGATTCTTTCAGAATCTTTAATAGTAGATCGAGTTCGGACACAAAATCAACCTCTAGAGGCTCAACATCAACAAAGCCCCGTCATCGAAAGTTCTGAGATCTGTAATGAAGTTTCGAATGCTCAAAGTGCGTTTGATGAACATGACGATGAACACATGACTATCCAAAGTGTCGAGACTCTTGATGAACCTGTGCATGTTGAAAGTCTTCCTTCTGAGGTACATGGACTACCCTTAGATGTTCTGAATTTTGTATCAGAACGCGAGCAATCATTCGATTCCCTACTCTTGTGCTGTGTTTATACTGAGGAGACAACGGGTGCTCATTCGTGTAGAACATGCAATAGACCCATTCATGCTATTTGTGCTGCTCCGGAGAAAGATATGGCAGAAGGCTATGGTTCTAAAGTTGTTTGCCCATTATGCTTAAAAAACGCTTTAGCTGTACAGAACCGCATCAGTTCCAAAGATAATTTAACAGAGCAAGCTCAGAAAATGCTTAACACTTCTGGAAAAAAATTTCCCCCTGTGCCATTGGGTACCACTGTAAGAACCCCTGTTCCGGAAGTCGACAGAGGTCGTGGTGATGCTCGCAATATACTAGCTGTAGTCTTACAAAAAACGGATGACGAACTTTATAAAATGGGAACAAAGCAGGGTGTTGTAAAGAATAGATTTATCGTCAAGAACTACTTAAAAAAGAAGATGTCCCTAAACAAGAAACGACGCTCCGTACAGTTGCGAATCTGCAATCTACGGGGACAGGTCAGGGAATTATTAAATGTAGTTGCAAAAAACACTAAAAAGTGTTCATATCTTAAAAGTAAGATTTTATGCACTTCAAAGTGTCATAATAGTTCCGCGTGTAAGAATAAATAAATATATTTTTTTACTTACTCAATTCTACGTCTTGTTTTTACACAATTATTTTGTTTCCTAAGTTTTTAATACTTATTACTTGATTACTTATAAGCAAATAATATTATGTTTGTGATCCCAGAAAAATTTTAAGTTTAATGTCATTAATTATGATTTTACTATAGTTACAGAAAGGTACTAGGTGCCTTCTTTATACAATAACTTATAGATTATAAATAAGTTTATTATGTGTAAAAATGGATAAATACAGACCAAAATCTATTTATTTTACACATTGTCAGTCGACCAACAGGTACTCTATGTAATCCCTAGGAATTGTATACATTACCTAGGTAAAGTATCTAATGGACATTAATCTTCATAATATTTCATACATTGCCTAGACACCCTAGGTATTTTATAGATTACCTAGGCATTGTATAGAATACCTGAATTATACAGATTGACGGTAACATATACATCTCAAATCGTTAGGGGGTTAAATCATTGTGAGTACCATATGTATGCGGATGACTTGCAGATGTATCCACGCGACTTCGCGTTGGGTATTACGAATATGCAAAAAGACCTTGATTACATTCATAAAGTGGCTCGGGAATACGGTCTACATCTTAATCCGTGTAAATCCAATGCTATAGTTTTTGGAAATTCCGCTATATGTAATGGTTTTCGGGAAAGTATTGATTTGCAAATTGATGGTTGTAACATTCCTTTGGTTAGTGAGGTAAAGAATTTGGGTATGATTATGGACAACAGTTTTCGCTATAAAAAGTATGTCTTCAACTGTATATCCAGGGCTTATTATCATCTGAGGATGTTGTTTCCTCATCGACACTACCTTGGTATTCATCTGAAAAAGATGTTGTGCGAAGCCTCTGTTTTGGCTCAATTCACTTATTGTCCTGAGGTCTACCATCCGTGCATTGACGTTAGCGATGTAACACGTATTCAACGAGTGCAAAATTGGTGTCTTCGGTATATATATGGAATTAGAAAATATAACAGAATATCTTATAAACTGAAGGATGCGGGATGGCTAAATATGTATCATCGTAGGAAAGTGCAGTGTTTGTGCCTATACCATAAAATTATAAACTACAAGGAACCACAGTATCTCTACCAACTGATAACTTTCCGAAATGATGTCCACCGAATAAATACGCGATTTCGCGGAAGACTGTCGCCACCCTTCTATCGTTTGTCTTTGTTTCAGAGATCATACATATTTCAAATAACTTCGAAATATAATGAGGTGGACGATAATTGCAANTCAATGTTAATCTGTCAAACTGTAATTTAGTAAACTTAAAGTGTTTTTTAAATACAATGTTAACATTAGAGGAAAAAGTTTACGTGATTCAGTGTTATGGAACCGGGGAAAAACCGATAAATGTAGTTATTGCTTTATTTAGTGAAAAATTTCCAAATATTGGAATTAAAAACTTGTTGGCGTTTAATCAAAAGTTTCCTATTTTTTGTTTTACTATTGACGAAAATAACCAAAAATGGGTTTTATCAAAGTAGGCCGATGATTCAAAAAATTTTGATATGGCCCTAACTTTTCATTCTGAATAAAATTTCTTAGTAACATTTTATCATACCGTAAAGAGAAAAGGTACTTTACCTGATGCACAAGAAGGTTTTGCTTCAGTGTCAATAGTCACTTGTTTTTTAAAATTTGAAAATATGTTCAAAATTAGTCTTCAACCAAGCAGGGCTGAATCCCAAAAGATGACAATTAATATCGAAAAAATTTTACATTTTATAAGAGTCGTTTCACCTATCCTGGGACACACTGTATATGGAATTAGAAAATATAACAGAATATCTTATAAACTGAAGGATGCGGGATGGCTAAATATATATCATCGTAGGAAAGTGCAGTGTTTGTGCCTATACCATAAAATTATAAACTATAAGGAACCACAGTATCTCTACCAACTGATAACTTTCCGAAATGATGTCCACCGAATAAATACGCGATTTCGCGGAAGACTGTCGCCACCTTTCTATCGTTTGTCTTTGTTTCAGAGGTCATACATATTTCAAATAACTTCGAAATATAATTAGGTGGACGATAATTGCAAGGGTCTTGTTTGCAAAAATTCTTGTTTTCTTGAACAATGTCTACATGGAGGCAAACGCTGATCTGACATGTTTTGCAATCTTGTTGTTGTATCTAGCTGTTGCTTTGTCATTTTTGGCCGAGTCATGTTTTTCTTTTTTTGTTTCTTAGGTTAGTTAGAGCAGCTGTACTAACTAGTACAAGCTGGAATTCGCCTATTTTCTTTTGCATGTTTTTTTTTATACAATTAAGCTTATTTTCTAATAAAGGCATTTATTATTATTATTACATACAGTGGGAATGAGCAAAGAAGAAGAAAAAGATGACCTCTACCGTTCAATGACATCTGACCTTGTTCATTGCGTAGGTATTTATCCGCTTTGTCCGTCCTTTTTGGTGGTAACTCCTTTGCCCTTCTCCTTTATCCGAGCTTGGGACCAGCAGTGACAGTTGTTGGGCTACTCAATCCACCTAATTCTCAAGGCAGAGCTTCGATGTTGATTTTCACTATTTTTCAAATAATCTATTTCTTTTGTAAGCGAAATTTTCTTAATTAATATTAATATAATTCCACAAATGTAGTAGCAGTTCAAGATCACCATCTCCGTAGAATAAGATTTTGTAATATACTTTGTATGTATCTATACTTATTTATAAAAAAATTAAAAAAAAATCATTTTAATCTCATTAACATTTAATTTATTCCTTATTTTAATACTTGATGTTATATTTTATGAGCACGTTGTCCTTCCTGTAAAAATTTTAAGACAAATTTCCACTCTTTTTTTTACAGTTCACCTTCAAATTTATTTTATTACACTCAAATTTTTCAATAATTTAAGATAGATATTATTTCAAGTCGCAATTTAAAATTATTCCACTAAAACAAGCTTCCCAATGGAAAATTTCAATTTTAAATTAGATAATTAAGTTAATTTAGATTTGGTGAAAGTGATCTGTACCTAAACGAAAGGTTCTTCAGGGTTAATTTCTTGTAATTATTAAAACAACCTTGACACAACTCGCTTTTAAAAACAATTTTTGTAAACTCGCGATTACTCACTCCGAACTCAAATCAAAAGTAAAAATGTATTAATACATACATACAATATACAAAAACAAAAACAAATATTTTTTTATTGATTTCCTAGTTGGCTAAAGTTTATCTTCATATATACTCATTGTTCGTTGAGTCAATGACTATTAAAGCCATTGTTCTGGAAGGAAAAAGGTCAATTACATGTCAGAATATATTTATTCTGATGTATTTAATGCGGGTCCGATGTGTTATCTAATTTAAATAAACTGTGCTCATCGATTATTTCAAAAAATTTCGTTATTTCACAAATTTTAATAAAAATACAATTGATTTCTTTAAGTGGTTTTTCAATGGTTTAACTTGTAGAATGTTGATGATTTGCGAGAAGAAAAGAAGAAAGTTGCATTACGAAATTCTTAAAAATGCTTTTACGAAGTTGACCCGATTGGGTTATACGTGTTACGTTTGCGCAGATCGTTTTTTGGGGTAGGGATCGATCCAATACAATACCCGGTAAAAAGTATTAAAAGCACGGGATTTCAACGTGTTGTTTGTTGTGTTTTGTGGTGTTTTCATGTTAGTATTATCGCTAAAGCAATACAAATATTAAATCAGGTTTGTTCTATTCAAATACTTTTAAAATATACTTTTTGAAAACGTATTTTTTTGTAATAAGCCATGGACGAAGATCTTTACATAGAATATAACGAAAAAACAGGAGAACCTTTTCTAAGATTAGGGGAAAATATTTTAAAATTAGATCGCGAAGAAATATCTGGGGAATTCGCCGAGAAAGCATTCAAAGAATTAAGAGAAACGCCAGAAAATCGTGAAAGAGGATTAGATGAGTTGAGAAATTGGTTGAAAAACGAAGAGAATTTTTTTAAACCAAACGAAGATACGGCGTTTTTATTAAAATTTTTGCGACCCTGCAAATTCTATGCAAAAAGTGCTTTTAAAATAATGAAAAAATTTTATAAATTTAAAGAAAAAAATTTAAAATATTCCCAAAATTTGATACCTGAATCTGTTGAGAGATGTTATATTGACGAAATTATTACGTTTTTACCTGCTAGAACACTAGAAGGGAGCAGAATTATGGTTGTAAATATCGGTAAATCCTCCAATTAAAATAAACTATCTCAAAATTAACGTTTTTTAATATCTTTTTAAAAGCAAATTGGAATCCAAAAGAAGTATCTGTCACAACGTTTATAAGAGGGGTATTCATTGCGTTAGAAATTGCTATGGGTGAACCAAAAACTCAAGTCGGTGGGGTTCATGTCATTTTAAACTTAGAAGGACTCTCTTTAAGTCATATTACACAATTTAATCCATCGTTAGCAAGAATGATACTTCAATTAGTTCAAGTAATAAAACAATTTTTTCTTAATAATTTTAAAAGAATGATTTTTAATATCTTTTTAGGAATGTTTACCGCTGCGATTAAAAGGAATTCACATAATAAATCAATTGACTCTTTTTAAAGTAATTTATGCGATTTTCAAACCGTTTATAGGAGAAAAATTGAAGAAAAGGGTATTAAATTAATAAAATTTTTTTTTTGTTATGATCATTTTTAAATAATTTTAGTTGTTTTTCCACGGGACAAATTATGATGAGTTATTAGCAAAAGTTGATTCGTTTTGTTTGCCACCACGTTGGGGTGGGACTTTAAGTAGTCCTGACGCACCTGGACGGTTACTGTATGATATCATTCATTTTTATAGTTATGAATATAAAGGTAAGATGAATTTCTTTAATTAAGAAAATTTCGGATGAATTTCAAAATTAATACTTTTCTTTGTTGTTGCAGAAATAAGTACTTATGGATACACAAAAAAGATTGAAACGTAGATTTATATTTGTTGTTAAAATTAACTTTAGTTATATATAAATAAACTAAACTAAATAATATATAATTTTTAATAAAGAAATTTTGTTTAAAACGGCGTTTTTTTATGTGGGTTAATAATAATCACTAATATATATCTTGTAAAGTATAAATCAATCCATACTGACTGAGATGGTAATTTTTAGCGAAACTTGAGAAATTGTGTTACGGGTGCTATAAGAGCTGAGAAAAAAGCTTACTTTATGCAGCAGCTGTCGAGTGTGTCTAATTCAAACAAATGGAAATTCTTACGTAACAATGACATAATTGTTAATAAACGTAATAATAATAAACAGAAAATCTTAAGAATGATAATATGCTCAATACGTATTTTGTAACTGTCATTACACTTTCTAATTCGAAAGATGGTGTGTGTCTAAAATACTCTTCTTCACTAAAAAATGGTATTAACAAAATGACATTGAAGACGCGATGGTGCAAATTAAGTCTAATGCCACTGGTGCTGATGGTATTAATTTTGTTTGGGTTCCCTTGCTGTTGGAAGGAATCAATTGTTATTCCTATTCCCAAGATTCCGCAGCCATCACCGTGGAAGGACTTGAGGCCGGTTAACATACTGCCTGTTTTGTCGAAAATTTTCGAAAAAATAATATCTGTTGAAAGCATATGTTTGACCAAGGGATATTACCTAAATTTCAGTCAGGTTTTAGGAAGGGTTAGGGTTGTGATACTGCGCTATCATGTGTCACTGATGATATACTTGCAGCATCGGACAGGGGATTTATCACGATACTAATAGCTTTGGATTATACGAAGGCATTCGATACAGTTAATCACGGTATTTTGGGTCTGGTATTTATCATTTGGCTGCTATGTATGTCTGAGGCACACCAACTCAGATTGAATCCATTGAAGTGTTCTATGATTATTATGGGTGCGAACAGCTGCAGAAAGCTGGATGTTGAGGCTAATGTTGAGATACCTCACAATCCTGTACCAATCGTGGATAAACTCAAGGTGTTGGGTTTAACAATTGACGGAGATTTACGGTTTAGTAATCATATCAACAATTTGATACGACAGTCGTATGGCAAATTAAAAATGTTATACCCAAGTAGGCAACTGTTGAATAGCGAAACTAAGTTGTTATTTTGTGATTCGCTATTTTTTTCTCTATTTAATCACTGTGACTTGGTGTATGGGTCTTACTGCCCTTGACTCATTAAGAGTTTAGAGAGTACAGAAGTCTTGCCTCAGATTTGTCTACGGTATTGGGCGAGGGGATGGGATCTCTCATATGATTGCGTACGCTGGTTGGCTGAACATGACTCGTAGACGTTCCCTTCATCTGGCGTGTCGTCTACATCAAATAGTAACTACTCCTCCTTACTTGCACGAAAAATTATCTATATAACTGATGTGCATAATTTAAATTTAAGACACAAAAAGGTGATTTTTATTCCTACTCACCGCCATGAATTATTTAAACGTTCGTTCTCTTATTTAGCAGCTACAATTCTTAATAGTATACCATTTGATTGCACACTACTTAGCCGGTTTAGTTTTAGAAAAAGATATAACTCTATTCTGCAAAAGTAATTTGATTTTGTGCGATCTCTGAGTTTCACCCGCCTGTCTCTTGAATGAGCTCTCTTATTAATTACAGGTGATCTATTGCCATTTTGGGTTTTATTATCTTATTTTATTTTGTTTGTTAGTTACAATGTGTAAATTGCCTTTCGCTTGTAAAATGATATTTGTTTTTTTTTTGACATCAATAAAGTGGTTATTATAATATAAATATAAATAATATACCACATTCGATACAGAATGATTAAAAAAAAATAATAATAAAAATACAAAAAATAAGACAAAATATTTATTATAAAAGAAATTTAATTTAGTAATTAAGAAAAAAGTCCGAACATATAGGCGGAATTCAGGTCAACCCTGTCTTCCATTCAAACTAATAGAAAGAAAGACACTAAAGAAAATAAGAAAAAAAAAACAACAAAACGAAAGAAAAAAAGATACTAATACCACTTGCATGGAAATAATGAAAACTCATAGAAGAATAGAGCTACTCACTGAAGCTCTCCATCACCCATCCATCACCTAACATTTCAATGCTCTTTTAAATCGGTTCAGGGGTAGTCCAATCAGGTGCCGAGGTAAATTATTGTATATGGCGTATATCTGATAAGAAAAACACCGTTTGAAAAATTCTGTCCGGTGGGAAGGAGGTGTTAGTCTACCTCTGAACCGAACATTAACATTATGTACGTCTGTTCTGAATTTAATCCCATCGTGCAGGGATACTATCCGGTCGGATACCGGACAGTTACCACATATCAGGCTTTGGCCGGATATCAAAAACCTATTACTTAGAACTTCACCATATACAGGAATTACTATCTCTTTTAGGTGTTGGACACTGCAGATAATAATCAAGTTCAACTCCAATAGGACTTTTTTCATTGAATACAACTTTATTTATATCAGGTTTGTCATTAGCAACCTCATTGTAACAATCCCAATACGATATATAAAATCTCTCGTTGCAGTTTCGTCTAGATTTCTTTTCTTCGCTTGTAATTCATCATCACATTCATTACTAACAGATCTGTCGCTGCTATTACTTTCGATTATTAATTAAAGTATCCTCTTTTTAATACAAAAAGCCGTTTTAAAAAATAACTTTTAGTTTTTGAGAAAAGAACATTTGAAGTTTTGATAAAATTTTTGATGTTGCAATATTCATCGACAATTTTCAAAATTCGCTATAAAATTAATTTCTTGAAGAATCCTTGTATAAATAACACCAATTATTAATTAAAGTATGCCCTTTTTAATGTAAAAAACCGTTTTGAAAAATCACTTTCAGTTCTTGAGAAATACATTTTTGGAATGATCGACAATTTTTTCGAATTTTGCAATTTTAGCCGATTAAGTTTTAAAAATTCGTATAAAATCCAGTTCTTGGAATATGAGTATGAAAATTTCCCAAAGCGTTAATAAAAGTGTCCTCTTTCCAATGAACCAACTGGTTTTAAAAATTAACTTTTAGTTTTTGAGAAAACAATATTTGAAGTTTTGATAAAATTTTGATGTTGTAACCGGATATGCGGCCGAAGGGGATGCCGTATATCCGGTATCCGGTTTTTCACAAAATCACTATCCGTTCCATCACTAATATTCAGCCATTTTAACTGCTTAAATACCAAAAGACCAAAAGAGTTTTTTTTATTTTTTCCTGATGCCTGAAATCCAAAAAAGCCCCGTATATGCTGTCACAGTAATTAAAGTGCGACAATGCCAGAGAATCGCATAAAAGCTTTTTTGTGTGTTAATCAAGACTATAACGATTAGAATAAATTAATTTTAACGAGCCATAAGCTCGACCAATTAACTGATTAGTGTGTTCCCTAAAGCTTAACGCCTCATCCATGACCAGTCCGAGGTTTTTGACAGACTTACTCAATGGAATAGGAGTATTTCCTATCGACAGGTGATAAAACCCATCAATAAATTTCTGTTTTAACTTCGGATGCCTGATAATGCCATGCAAGTCACATTTAAACTTATTGAAGCTTTCATCAAAGTGGCCTTCAGAAAAGGACAGATAAATAAGAGTATCATCAGCATAGTAGTGGGCGCTACAGAAATTAACGAAGCTATTGAAATTTATCGTGTAAACTTTAAATAGCGTAGGGCCAAGAATCGATCCCTGCGGAACCCCAGACCTTATCTCCAAAGCACTCGCCTTCACCTGATCAATACTGACTGATTGAATCCTGCCTTTAAGGTAATTTTTGAAAAAAGCTAATGAGACAGAATCAAGCCCGATATGATCAAGAATTGATATTAACAAGCCTTGGTTTAGAGTATCGAATGCTCTGTAGAAATCCAACATCCCCAGAAGAGTCAATCTATTAGAGTCAGTTGCAGTAACAATATCATGCACTATATTGTTCAGACCAGTTTCACAGCTCCTTTCCTGAAACCAGACTGATTAACTGGAACAATGCGCTCATCCTTCAGAAACTCCATCAGTTGTTTGTTAACTATTTTTTCCAATACTTTTAATAAGGAACACAAAATGCTTATGGGTCTTAGGCATGAGTATTCGTTTGGACTTGGTACCTTTGGTACCGGTATCACCATGGACTTTTTCCATATTGAAGGGGAAAACACCTTCTAATAGACAAGTATTAATAATATTTGTTATATGAGGTAAGATTACAGAACAAGTCATTTTTATAAATTTAATCACATTTGATCGTATATTGTGTAATTCAGCTAAAATATTACTTTCGGACACCAACCTAAATGAGAAAACACCAGGGTCAAATTTTGTGTTGCCAAAGTCATTAATCAAATTATAAACCCTACAGTGGCCATAGCATTGAGCATCCAAGAAGAAGTTATTTAGTTCGTCGCCGTTTTTTGAGTGTTGTGGAAGAGAATGAATCTTACATTGTAATAAATTGTTTTTTCGCAACAGTTTCCACGAGTTAACAGAATTGTGTATAGCATGAGTAATGTAAGCACGATTTCCACACTTAATAACGGTATTTACAAGATTTCTTAATTCTTTATTATAGGTCCAGTCAGGCTGACTTTTGTTTTTTAAATTTTGACTGAGCCTCATCTCTTAAGTCTCGCATCAAACTAACATTATCAGTAAGCCACAGACAGGGATCTTTGGCAGAAGTTACTCTCACACGTGGGGTATATCTGTCAATAGCTGAGATTAGTGATGGAACGAATAATGATTTTGCGAAAAGCCGGATACCGGATAGTCGGCATCCCCTTCGGCCGGATATGCGATTATCCGGTGTATCTACCCGGCCATTATGGTTATAACTTCTGGTGCATTTCTGAAGTGATACCATACATTGCCACATTATTGCGATATTTGAATAAAAATGAAATTAATAAGAAAGCTGATAAGATATGTCAACTTATTTGATCCAAGATACAAAATGAACTTTTTGGGTACATAAAGATTAAAAAATGAAGAGTACATAAAGATCAAAGCATGGATAAATTAGAGAGAGAGAGTA